GTAGGTGGACCAAAGGAGAGATATTTATAGACTAAGGCAGGGGCTTGGAGTGAGGAGCTGAGGGGGAGACTCTGCAAGGACTGAAAGTGACTCAAGAGAAAGAGTAACAAAATGTTTGGCACCATCCTTTGGGCTCTGGGTAAATGTGTGATCCGCTATGAGTAAGATTTATTTCCTTCTAGTGAAAGACTCCCTCTGCATATTATTGCCAAGGCATAAGGGCAGGGTAAATCCATTTCACAGGGGAGGAAACTGAGTCTCCAAAAGTAAGTAATTTATTCAAAACCACACTTTTAGGCAAGGAGCAGGACCCAAATTTGTCTGGCCCCAAAGTCCATGCTTCTCTATTCCTGACATGAGTAGCATGGCTAAGTCTAGAACGAATGAGTTATGGGTGACAAAACAGAGAAAAATTAAAAACAGTAACAGTTTCATATGTAATTTAAAATACTGGATTGTATCCTCACTCTAGAGGTTGTTAATATTTGTTGTTTTAGCCAAATCCAGATACCACTGTATGATCTAGAAAATGGATGCCACCTAGGCAGTAGATACTCATAGCTACAAGCTGTGGATCACTGTACTTTTAACAAAAGTTGCTGAATTTTTTATAGGCTTTAACCATTTGTCTTTATTTCTGAGGCTGCAGTATATATAGCAGTTTGGGTATGAAAATATTCCTTGAGTCCAACCTTAACATGAAAAGGTATTTAAAAATTCAAAAGTGTATTGACCAGTGAGGAACTCGCAAGGAAAGCGAGAATTCATAACCGAGATCAAACGGGAAGCTTCAACAGTATATTTCACAGAATATTTTTTCAGGCCATTTATGCAGCAGTCTTTCCTTAAAATTTATAGAGAAAATATAAGGTTAATCACTGTCATACTTCTGGACATTTTCAGACAGACCTGACCAAGATCCAGAGGCAAAAACAATTAATACCTAAAAATTTGAGAGAAATACAAAATTTGGCTTGGCAGAAAAGAGAAGCCCTGGGTACAAACTGATACAAAGACGTAAAGATTTATTAGGATGCAGACAAGCTCTTCCAGGTCAGGAACAAGAAGTAGAGAATTAGCTTAGATAACTTACCAAAAAGAAAAAAAATGTGGGAGTGAGGGAGTGTTCCAACATCTAAGGGATACCCAAGCATGAGGATGCTGTAGAATCTGCCTTCATGGAGATTTGCAAATAGGACAAGAGCACTATTTCTGCCTAGAGCCTCGAGAATTAAATAAAATGACCTCTTCAGGTCTTTTCTTGTCTTGCGTTCCTTTAGGTTTAATTACATTTCCTGGGTAATATTAGAAAATAATGGAAACCACTAAACCTAAGAGTTTAGGCTCTGAAGTCAAACAGACCTCACTCTGAATCAAGCATATGACTACTAACCTTTAATGGGCTTGGGCCACCCAGCAATCTTATTACATTTTCTAAGTCCACTCATTCCCCAAGACAAACATCTCACACCTTCTCTTTTGCCCCCAAGCCTTCAAACCTCCTCTCTGTCCACTTCTCCTTCTTCACTGAGAAAATAGAAGCAATCATAAGAGAACTTCTACCAACTCCTATCAACATATCTCCCAACATCCCTGCGTCTTTAAACACAGGGGCTGCCTTCCCTCCTGTTATGGTGGATGAACTGTCTATGCTCCCAAGACCAACACCTCCATTTGTCCACTAGATTCCCTCCTCTATCTTCAAACCAAAATGTCGATCCAGTAATCACCTACATCAAATTTTCTCCTTTTCCTGGAACATTTCCATCAGCAAAAAACACGCTGTAACATCAGCCATCATTCTCTTCCTGCCACTCCTCCATTTCAAGAAAATGCCTCTAAATCCTTCACTGTCTTCACTTCTTTTTCTCTCCTTTCCTTTGAACCCACTTCAGTCAACCTTTTCTCACCACCATTCCACCAAAATAACTCTTGTTGAGACCCCCAATAAAATTCACATTGTCTAGTCCAATGGTAACTTCTTAGCCCTCATCTTCTTTAAATTGTCACCTATGTTTGACCCAATTGATTCCACCTCTTCTTTTCTCATGTTCTCTCTTGGGTTCCAGGAAGACATTCTATCTTGATTTCCCTCTTATCTCAAGGTCTCTCTACAGTTTCTTCTACTGATTCCTTTATATCTCCCCAACCTCTAGGTGGAGTCCCCATGGCCCAGTCCCCTGGCCACTTCTCTTCTCTCTCTACACTCATGCTCTGGTTGATCTCATCTGGCCTCATGGCTTTTATATACCATATTCATGATGAAGACTTCCAAAGTTGTATCTCTGGCCATGATCTTTCCCTGAACACCAGATTCATACATGAAACTGCCGACTTGACATCTCCACCTGGATGACTAGTAGGCATCTCGAGCATGGTGGAACCTCTGATCTTCCCTTCTAAGTCAGCTCCTGCTGCATCAGTCTTGTCTCAGAAAATGGCCCCTTGATTTTTTCCTTTCCTTGGGCAAAAATGCTTGAAGTTATCCTTGACTCTTCTCTTTTTCTTACAGTCCACAAACAGTCTATTAGCAAAACTCAACGACTCCCTCTTCAGAACATGCCCCAAACCTGACCACTTATCACCATCACCATATGCACTGTGGGTCTAAGCCACCTTTATCTCTTATCTAGATTATTGCAATACTTTTGCCCCTCCTTGCGTTATTCTCCAAAAGGCAGCCAAAAGATCCTCTTAGAATATAAATTAGATGTATATTTTCCAACTCAAAATCCTTCTGTGACTTCCTCTCTCATTCAAAGTGAAAAACCAAGGACATACAACAGGCTATGAGGCCGTATTTATGGTCTCCAAACCACCTCATATATACCTCTCTGACTTCTCCTCCCGCTTGCTCACTCCACTTAAGCCACTCTGGCTTCCTTGCTCCTCCTCAAACATACTTAACTCTCTCCTACCTCAGGATACTTGCACCTTCTTTTCTTTATGCCTGGAATGCTCTCTCCCCATCCCAGGTAGTCACATGGCTTGCTCCTTCACATCCTTATTTTCTTGAATCAACCTTTATAAAGTAGTGCATACACACACATACACACAAAACAAAGGCACTCTCTTATTTTCTTTTCCTTGCTTTACTTTTCTCCATAGAACCTACCATATCAGAGTATATTTACTTGCTTTTTGGTTTTATCCTGTCTCCCACTAGAAAGTATCTTCCATGAAGGCATTTTTTTTGGTTCACAGCTCTATCTCCAGCTCCTAGAAGTATGCCCAGCACATACCAGGTGCTCAGTAAACATTTGTCAAGTAAACAAACGAATGAACTTGACCACTAACTCTGTGTGACTTTAGGAAAATATCTTAATGCTATTACCTCTTGAATGAGGATAATGCCAGTGCCTCCGTCAGAGGTTATTATAAAAATAAAATGAAATAATCTGTATAAAGCCTATTTAAAACTCAACAAAGGACACTATTATAGTATTTTATTTATTATCTTATTTTTCCTCATCATAATCATTTGGAATTCTCTACAAAAGTTTTATAAAGTTCCAGGACATTATGAGTATTCCATATAATTTTAAGGGGAAAGAAATGACTTAATCTTCTATTAAAACACTGACAACCAAGAGAAAATCCCTTGCTGAGATCACAGGAATCACTGAACTGGTCATATCTTCATCAGAACATTCTCTAGGTTGTCCATCTGGAATTTGCCCTCACTGTGTGCCCTCCTCTTAAATTCTTCAGCAGATTTTTCTTCCAACTAACCCTCACACTGCAGGACTTCTGACAAGCCCCTGACAATTTCCCGAAGTAGGGGGTAGAGCTTGGCTGCGAATTCAGTAAAACTGCTGTACACTAGCTTTTCCAGGCCTTACATTAGTTATCTAGTTTATACCTGAAACTCTTCTGCTTCTTGTTAATTAATTTTTTAGAATGAATGGGATCCTAGGTACGGTGTCATTTGATTTTTTTATTTTAAGGTGAAATGCATTTAGGTTTCCAAATTAATTATCATCATCAATCTAATGCAAAAGGCTCTTCCATGTGCCCACAGGTCCCTTTGTTCCTCTACCTTGTCATTTACCATGGCATATTAAAATGATCTCTTTATGCATTTGTCTCTCGCACTAGATTCTAAGCTACCTCAGGGTGGGCACCATGTCTTAGTCATATCAGTACTGTCAGCATCTGGCCCTTGCCAGCCCACTAGAGATTATCAAATAAATACTGTTAAAAATAAAGGCTGTACAGTGTGATATTACAAGAATGGACCCTAGCACCAAATGCTCTATGGTTGAAGCCCAGCATGGCCACTGTGTGAGATCAGGCAAGTTACTAACTACTCTGTGCCTCAGTTTCCTTCTCTGTAGAATAGGGATAATAATATTTACCTCTTCGGATTGTTATAAGAATTAAGTTAATTAAATTAAGAAATGTAAAATGCCTATAACAGTGTGCTTAATAAATATAATTCATTACATATAATATATATATTCATTACATATAATAAATTACATTACATATAATAAATATAATTATTAGTACTTAATAAACTTAGCTTTCATCATACTGGAAAATTGAGTAGCCCTTTCGTCTACAAACTAATTCCAAAGTAGTCTCAGTCATCATTATATAAGACATTCTGCCTAAGAAGTGGCAAGTGCCTGCCTGTCTGACACCATTCACCTCTCCTGCAGACTTATAGTGGCCTTCTGATCCTTTTCAACTCAGTCCCTCAGGAAGCCACTACTAGTTCATTGGTGTTTACACAACACATGGAAAACTATCTGCCATTATTGTTCTCCTTTCTCCCTCTCAGCCCCAGATTTCAAACAAACTTGGATTAGGATGGGATAGCTAGGGGTATATGTGTAAACGGAAGGTCAGATAGAGGATCACAGGCAGTTAGCCCAAAGACTCAAGCCTCCAGCAAGCTTGAATTACTTGGAGATTTCAGACCAAGCCACTCTTTGAGTCTCCATTACCCTGCCGACTACTCAGGTCTCCGCTTGGCAACCCTGGACAAGCCTCACCTTATGGAACTGGGGAGGGTATATTCGGGCAGCCCCATGGTTCAATAGCAGTTGGTAGCAGATCTCAGGCTGGGCGGCAGGTCGCACAGAGGTGACCTTCAGCACATACTGGATGGCAGCACAGCCATTGATATCCATGAGATTGGCTTCGGCACCAGCTTCCAGCATCATGTGCATGAGCACGTGGTCACAGTTCCAGGCTGCCTTGTGGAGCGGAGATTTAAAGTCGTCATCCCGGGCGTTGACCTCGGCGTTGTAGTCGAGCAGCATGCGGCAGACGAGGTGGTGATCCCTGCTGTACTCCTGCTCTTTAAAGCGGAGGGCCCAGTAGGTTGCAATAGCCAATGGGGTCTCCATGTGGGCGTTCACACTGTCCACTATGGCCCCGTGCTCCACGTAGAAGGCCACCAGCTCCGCGAGGCCGAAGTGGGCAGCCGTGTGCAAAGGCGTCTCCTCATCCTGGTTGTTGGTCTTCATGTTCACGTTTGCCCCTAAAAGGGAGATTGAGGACGACAATTATTTAAACATATTTTGCCATTATTCTCGGGGTTCGTTAAACAAGACTTTGCTTTTGCTTGCCTTTTAACCTATAACTGCCATACATTATCCGTTTTTTCCAAGTTCCATTTCTGGTTCCCATGGAAGCCACTCCTTTGAAACAACAGTGCCATCTCCTGGACAACCAGCAAACGTACGGGTCGGAGGCGCGGGGAGGCGGTGCTGGGAATCCGGGAAAGAACAAAGGATTTCCGACGAAGGCTGAAGCGTTGTTTGTTGAGTTTTAGTTCTTACTCTAGGTGGATTTGGAAACACAAAGTGATCTCTACAGATAAATAGCTTTTATCCATAAAATAGTAAATGTTATTGAAAATAAAGGTTATATCGAAACCTTTGGAGCTCATACGAGTGGATTTAAAAATTATCACTTTCTTTGAATGTTTCACAACATTATGTTTTTCGTCTCTTTCAAAGCAGGAAAATCTGAAAGTTTAGTCCAAGCAAACTTTAGTGGTATGGAAATTGCCCAGCCTCTGACTGAAAAATGACCCTACCAGAGCCGCCCAAGTCAATGTGGATTCCTTGGAAGACAACTGGGGAAAAACAAAAAACCCAAACACTTTGACCACCAAACTAACCTAAAGGCCGTATTTTGCGTTGAAAGGGGTAGAAGCTAGTCACTGAAAGAAAGACGATGATTTAGAGACTAACGTATTTGATTTAAGTTTGACAACTGCCTTTAGGAACCCAAATTCTTTGTGCTAGAAAGCTCCTTAGAAGTCCTTTAATCCGACCCACTTATCTAACAGACCAGAAAACTGAAGTGAATTTTATTTTTCTAGTAGGGAATGTTAAGTACTAGAATGACCAGCTTGAGAAGCTGAAATTTTCCTTCTCTGCCTAATTTAATGGGGTGAACTAAATGACTCCTAGGGAGCTTACTCTACAATCAATTCTACTGGAAATTTTTTATCTACTTCAAGTATAAATCTGGAAAGACTTTTATTATGATTATTATTATGCCAGCAATTTATATTTATTAAGCACTTAGCATGTGCAACATTCTGAGCCAAATGCTTTTCTTATGTTGCCTCATGGAGTATTCTAGCAGTAGCTAGGATGCTTCCAAGTGGGAGCATCCTGGCAGTACCTGGTAGGAGCATCGACTCACCTTTGCAGTAAGTGCAATTTTTATCCTAATTTTACAGATGAAGAAATTTGTACTTAGAGAGGCTAATTAACTACACCAAGCTAAGAAGCAACAGAATAGAGATTTGAAAGCAGACAGCCTGGCTTCAAAATTTGTTACCACTGTGCTATTCTACCTCATTACTTTTCTAGAAGAAAATTTTTCTGTACTTCGCTCTCTTTTGGTATTTGAAAACTTGAAAGTAGTAGCGAAATCACGTTGCGTTTTATTAATTTAAAAAATCTGTTCTCCATGTATTGCCTCTTTATGCCCTTTTTTATGGTGTCCTCTGATCATATGGAACATATTTGAGAAAGGCAATATCTTTACACGCATTCTCACAATTCTATACAAAATCAACCCCCTAGTGAGGTTTCTGAGAGCACATTGCTCTGGAAACTCTGGGGCTGTACACCTAACTTGTGGAAAGGAGAATTATAACCAGAGATCATCTTTCACGGAGCCATCCATGTTCATCAGTATTCTGCCCGAAGAAGTTCTCAGTCAGGTCTCCTTTCAGGTCAGCCCTTCTTTGCTCTCGTGCGAAATGGAATGAATAAGAATGTCTTCCCAGAAGCCACATGCAGGGTCACTTCATACACTGGAGAATTTCCAGTAAGGAAGGGAATCAAAGGGTCAGGGTGAAAATTTTATAGGCCAACTTGGAACAAACCACATCCTTTATTTTTTAATGTACTTGAACATTTACAATTGATCCTCAACCTCTTGGTACAACTAGATATGCCAAGCAGTTTCCTTTTCTGAATAAAGACCCTTATTTTTATATTTGAATTGTGACTCTGAGTGTAACTTTTCCAGGGAGTACATAAAGTAGGATGATTTAACTACTTTTTTATTTTAGTTTTTATAATTTATTCAAGAAATTAGAGAGTATAAACATAAGTTCTTGGGAACTTTTTAAAAATATTTTTGATGGGAAAATACAATGTATTGGTTTCCTAGAGCTGCCGTAAAAAAGAACCACAAACTAGGTGGCTTCAAACACCAGAAATTTATTCACAGTGCTGCAGACAGGAAGTTCAAAATTGAGATGTCAGCAGGGTTGGCTCCTTCTGAGGGCTTTAAGCGACAGACTGTCTCATGCCTCTCGCCAAGCTTCTGGTGATGGCTGGCAATCCTTGGTGTTCCTGGGCTTGTCAATGTATCTCTCCGAGGTCTGCCTCTATCTTTACATGGCGTTCTCTCTGTGTCTCTGTGTCTTCACATGACTGTTTTCTTATAAGGACACCAGTCATACTGCAATAGGGGTCCATCCTTCTCCTATTCAACTAGTTACATCTGCAAGAACTCTTTCCAAACAAGGTCACATGCTGCAGTACTGGGGATTAGGACTTCAACGTATCTTCTTTTGGGGGTGGGGGATACAATTCAACCCGTGGCATATAACATGCCTTATGTAATATGTAAAAATACATATGTGTAGTTTAAAAAATTCGTAAAGCCTTCACCCATGTAATCATATTCCAGGTCAAGAAGCCAAACTTCCCCAGACCCAGAGAAGCCCTCCATGTTCCCGTGTATCCTTCCCCACCACAACGCCTCCATCCCGCCAGAGGTAACTATTATCCTGACTATTATGATAATCACATCATTGCATTTCTTTATAGTTTTACCACCTTTGTATATATCTCTAAACAAGATAGTTTCATTTATTTTTGAACTTTTTATAAATGGAATAATAAACACATTCTCTTATGACTTGCTTCTTTCAATCAACATTATGTTGATGAAAATAATCTGTGTTGTGATGTTTAGCTCTCATTTATTCATTTTATTGTGTTCTGTCTCACAGCACATGTAATCCACAATTCAATGATCCTACTAGTGATGGACATTTCCAGTTTCAGGCTATTCCAAACACTGCCATTAGCCTTTTTGCCCATTGTTGTCCCCTGGTGCCCACGTGCTGGGGTTTCTCTGGGTTCTATACATATGAGTAGAATTGCTGGGTCATTGGGTATGTATATCTTCAGCTTCATTAGATGGTGTCAAACAGCTGTTGAGCCAGTTTACACTCTCATCAGCCATGCATGAGAGTTCTTGTTGTGCCACATTTTCAGCAACATTTGGTATTTTTGGTCTACTTAATTTTACCCAATCTAGTGGATGCATAGTGGTATCTCACTGTTTGAATACTTGTTTCCTTAATAATTAGGTTAGACATATTTTAATATTTTTATTGACCAACATTACCTTTTGTTTACTATTATAAGCATTTCCATGTTTTTATATAATCATTTTAAATATCATTTAAAAATAACTACAAGGGCCGGCCCAGTGGCTCAGCGGTTAAGTTCACACATTCCACTTTGGCGGCCTGGGGTTCACCAGTTGGGATCCCAGGTGCCGACTTATGAACCACTTGTCAAGCCATCCTGTGGTAGGCATCCCACATATAAAGTAGAGGAAGATGGGCACAGGTGTTAGCTCAGGGCCAGCCTTCCTCAGCAAAAAGGAGAGGATTGGTGGCAGATGTTAGCTCAGGGCTAATCTTTCTCAAAATAAATAAATAAATAACTACATAATATTCCACAGAGTGAGTTTATCCTTACTGTTGGTTGTGAAGATTTTTTTTCCAAAGTTTTGATCTTATGGCTAATGCTACAGTTAAGAAATTTGTGTGTAAATTTTAGGAGTATTTCCTTGGCATAAATTCCCCCAAAATAGAGTCATTAAGCTGAAACATCTGAACTATTTTAAGGTCCTTTATGAATAATTGCCAAAATATTTATATTTCTCTCTTTGACACGTAAGAGTACTATTTCATTCACCGGTATGTTGTCATATATTTTTTAAAAGAATTTTTGCTAGTGTGAAGTAAAAAATAGTCTCTCTCTTTTTTCTTTAATCTGAATTCATTTTATTATTCGAGTTTGAGCACTATCTGTGTAATTATTAACTAGTGGTATTTCTTCTTTAGTTAATTGTCCAAATGTTTGTCCTTTTTTTTGAGGAATATTAGCTCTGAGCTAACTGCTGTCAATCTTCCTCTTTTCGCTGAGGAAGACTGGCCCTGAGCTAATGTCTGTGCCCATCATCCTCTACTTTATACATGGAATGCCTCCCACAGCATGGCGTGCCAAGCAGTGCCATGTCTGCGCCCGGGATCCGAACTGGTGAACCCCTGGCCGCCAAATCGGAACGTGCGAACCTTAACCACTGCGGCCCCAGGCTGGCCCCCAAATGTTTGTCCTTTTATACATTGAAGACATTCTGCATTGTTTACATTTATATGAGCCCTTCATTAAGTTAAAATGTAAGCCTGTGCTATCATAATTGCTAAAATTTTTTAACCAGTTTATTTTGATTTTTTCTTAAATACAGTGACGTTGACTTCAGGTAATCTAAATCTTCCTTTTTTTTTTTGGTATTAGAATGTCCAACTCTTCTCAGAAGTTGCATAACTATCCAGATGCATTATAATTTAGTTTCTTATAGATTTTTAAAATGTTTAACATTTGATTCATCTCAAACTTATTTTGGTGTAGCCATCAATTTAGGAAGAATGGACATTCTTACAATATAAAGTCTTTCCATGCAGAAACATGGTCTGTTTCTGTGAAAGTTTTTCTTTCATTTCTGTAAACTATACCCCCCAAAATTTGCAGCAATTTTCATTCCAGGGGAGCAAGGTAAATTGTTTCTGGGATAAAGTAACTTTTAATGAGAGAAGCCCCTTCAAGAATCCTTTAATTTATGCAAGTAATTTATGCAAGATGGTCTTCAGAAGCAGGCTGGAATGGTAGCAAATGAGATAGATAAAAATTTTAATTTGCACTGCTT